CAGATATGCCTGCTATGGATTTAAAACATTTAGATGTGGGGCCGGCCCAGTGGCGCAGCAGTTAAGCGCACGTGCTCCGCTTTGGTGGCCTGGGGTTCGCAGCTTCGGATCCCATGCGCACACCGACGCACTGCTTGTCAAGCCATGCTGTGGTGGCGTCCCATATAAAGTAGAGGAAGATGGGCACAGCCCAGGGCCAGTCTTCCTCAGCAAGAAAGAGGAGGATTGGCATTGGATGTTAGCTCAGGGCTGATCTTCCTCACAAAAAAAAAAAAAAATTTAGGTGGGACCAACATTATTGAAATATGTATTTGAACCCTAGAAACCTCTTATTCTGTAGCAACTAGTTTATTATACTGTTATAGAACTTGTCTTTTTTTTTTCCCTCAAGTCCCGGTTACAAAAGGGCCATGGCTCGAATTCGTCATTCACACACCTTTTAATAATCATAGATGATATTTATTGAGCACTTGTGATGTGCTGGGAGGTCCTGTGCTGAGCCTTTAGCAGGTATAATCATATTTAATTATTAGAATTAGAAATGGAAAAGAGCTGAACGCCCAGCTCATTTCATCTAGCAATGTCTAGTCTTCAAGTAAGAAACATTTGTGGCTTAGCTGGTGTACATCATTATGGGAGGTGCTGTGTTCAGGTTAACGTGTAATTAATTAATCTTTCCTGCTAGTCTAAACATGAATCATTAAGCTAACCCCAAACTTATTTAGAGAAAACGTTTTTATTTCTATTATAAGATTTATTTTTCATCAGTGTTTTTTAAACTTGTTTCTATTTGATTATTAGTGCTGCATCATTGCCCTAACAGGGATCTGGCAAATATATATTTAATGCCTGCTATGTACCAAATACTAGGGATACCAACTACATCAACAAAATGAATAAAGCCTGGTGCATGCCTGTAAGGAGCTCGTAGTCTCTGGTTATCTTTGTAAGCAGCCCAAAATATGCATTTAAAATTATCATGGAAAATGCCTGCCAATACCCTGCACAATTGCCCAGTAGTGCCTGTTGCTGGCACTCTAGACCTTGACACCTGTAACCGTTGCATCTGAGAATTCTCAGAATGGTGTGCTGCAGTGTATGTCTCTAACTAAAGTAGGACTTGAAGTTGCTGAGTCCAGTTAGAAGCACTTGACTCTAAGTCTGGAGATGGTTCCACATTTTGAAGCTTCAGTAACAACCCTTCTACAAGTTGCAAGGATGGAATACTAAAGTTCTATTTATTTGTGACCACAGGGAGTTTCCTGAAGTTCCCCCAGTAGTGGGGGGTTCCTTTTGCCCTCTGTGTCCTGTGGGCTGCTGAGGCTATAAAACGAATGGGCTGATGGGCAACTTCCCCAGAGGCCTTTTTTCGATACAGGGCAATACCTCATCATGCATCTCCAAAGCCAGAAACCTGAAATTCATCTTAATTCCTCCCAAACAGCCACTTATCTGTCCCACCTTCAAAATCTCTTCTAATCTTTCCCAGTTTTATTCCAGTATCCTAATTTTAGACCTTTATAATTTGTCACCTGGTCTCTTGGCAGTAGCATACTACCTGGCTCTTCTGCTTCCAGTCTCATCCCCTCCCACTGCGTCCCTCACGGATTCCACCAGAGTGACATTCTGCAGTACACATTAATTCCTCTGCTTAAGCAAAATTCATCAGTCTCTCCCATCACCTACTGCACGAAGTCAGGACTGCTTAGCCTGACATGAGTGCCTTTATGAGTTTGCCTTTGCCTACACTTTCCCATCAGCACTGTGCTCTCCAAATTCAGTCTAACTGTTTGAAATTACTAGAACAAACCGTGTTCTTTTTTTGCTTCTTTGCTTAGCATGTATTGGCCCTCTGCCTTTAATGCTCTTCCCTTCTTGTCTACTTGGCAAACTCCTACTCACCTTAAAGCTCAGTTCAGATGTTTGCAATTCTTGGATGCCTTCTGTGACCTCTCCAGTCAGGCACGTGTATTCTTTTTGTTCCCATATGTTGTAATTCTTGAGGCGTGGTCTCATCATTTGTTTACCTATCTCCCTCACTACGCCTCTCCACCACAGGAACAGCATTGTGTTCAGTTCCATATTTTCCTACACTTAGTACAATGCAGGATACGTTGTAGACATTTTTAAAAAATAAATAAATGGTCTTTGATGTTCCTTTATTGATCTTATTATCCATGAGAACATGGGATCTTTCTTTTTATATTTGGAATTCATTCTAAAGATGTCTGAGGGCATAGAAGCAGTCGTGAATGTGGGTAAGATGAATTGTTAACATCTTGCCTTTGTGTTAATACAGTTGAGTGTTTAGAATTTGGGGAAATTATACTGCAAGCAGCAAGCTATCAGAACACATCCTGGCTTTACTTGCTAGAGGCTACGAGGCAGCTTGTTGTTCTGTTTGCCAGCAGGTAGGTAATGACAGTCCTTAGTGGGGTAACCAGTTCTACACAATCTTCCTTGTATCAGGAGCAGGTTGTTTCCTTGGTCCTTGCTTTTTTCTTTACATTAAAGAAAGTAAAAGAAAGACTTTTTTCCATTAAAAAAGTCAAAGACTTTTTTCTTTACATTAACAGAATTGATTTCCAAACTATTTTCAAATAATTAATAAAACAAGAGATTTATTTTGGGATGGGGAAATTATACCACTAAAATAAACTTTTAATAAAAATATGCAATCTACATTATTTATTCAGCATTTAGAAACCACTAATTTATTTAATGTAATTAAGCGATAGTTTAGACATTTTTTATACAATTGTTCGCTCTAACTCCTCTCAGTTAAAAGACTCAAAATTTTATTCTTAAAAACCTGATAATTTTCTAATTCTTTAATATTTGATATGGAGCTCTCTTGCATGCAAGCAGCATATCTTTCTATCTGCTGTATTTCCCTTAAGTGCTCTGATAAACCATGGTCATTTGGGTAATATAAGTGATCAGAACAGTGCAAATGGATAACTGATCTACAGTTCACAGTACTCCTTTTCTGGATGTTTGGTTATCTTAATAATCAATTTATTACTTTGTCTTAATTATAAAATCATAACTTTTTATGCTTTGAGCTGATAGCACCTTTATACCTTTTTTTTCTTAGTGGCAATAGACATGTTACAATGAAGTCATTTTTTAAATTGTCACTATTTTCAAAGGTCTTAAGTTGCTCCAAGATTTTTAACTCTAGACTAGAATATCTTAGTGTTTGTGAAGGTGAAAAGGGAAAACAGATCCCCATTTAATCAACCATTTGATGGAGCCCCTTTCTCCTCCTTGGTTGCTTTTTTTTCCTTTGGTAGATTTTGATTTGCTTAATATGGTCCTGCTCTATATTTTTACTCATCTTTCTAAAGTGTATGATCACTTTGGCATGGTTATTTTTTTTCTAGGGAACCACAAGGAGAGTCTTTTGAATTAGTTACCTGGTGATTTTAGTGCCTTTCTCTTGAAGGACAGTTTATTCGTCTCTGTGGTGATTTATTGTGAAAATGCCAAGTGACTTGAAAGTCTAGGACGTTTAGCTTGAAGCAGAAACTGAGATGGCTTACCTATTTTAAACATAGGAATTTAATGTAACATATTCTGTATGGATTCGAGTAGTCATTGTCTGCATTTTACTCTTTTTTAAAACCCTAGCCCTTTATTGTCATGGCCAGCCATCTCTCCATGAGTCAGTGAACTTTGTTCTCAGTCACTTGTAACCCTGCCATGATCTAATCCGAGACTCCTGACCCTGGCAGCCATCGTTCAGTGCTGGTCAAGGAGGTGAAAAAAGTGACAACACACAAATGATACAGTATAAAGATATTCGCCCCTTCTGTTGGAGAAATTAAAGATATACTGTGTAGATTTGTTTGTAGATTAGCATAGTAAAAAAAAAAGTTGTTAGTTAAAAATGGTCCTTTAAAGTTCACGTTTCAAAGCCCTTTGCCAAAGTTTTTGACATTTTCAGCCCGTATTATTTAATAGAAAGTGTATGTGTGAGTGTGTGTGTGTGTTTATACATTTATAGCAACCACCCTTGTATCAGAACGTGACCAATAGGCTCTGCCCCATATACTTTAACTATTTGGGCCACTGAAAGATAACTTTAAGATTCATATTTCTTACTCCCCTCCTGGCCCAAAAGTAATGGAAGTTGCCTGTTTCCTCTGATTTGTGTAGAATATAACCACACAGTGAACTCCAGAGTAGTGGCATGTTGGCACATTGGCCTTGAGAACTTTGCTATACTGTAGGCTTCTGAGCTTTAGTTCAAGTTACAGGCAATTTCAGATTTGTTTTACTCTCAGCCATCATTCAAAAGGCTGATCATTTTTAATTGTACTAAGTGGATGTCCACTCTCGGGCAGGGTAAGTCTGTTTTCCACATAACAGAACCTTAGTTGGTCTCTCATATGGCAGTGAGACAGAACAAATAAGCTGTGAAAACGTTGTATTCTGAAACTTTTCAACAAGAATATTAAAGGTAGGTTAGCATTAGCTAAATGTATTGACCTATTTTTAAGTAATTAGAATTTCACATCAACTAGTCAAGTGTGATAACATGCTAAATAGCTTTCCTTTAAAAAAAAAACTTTAAAATGGGTGATATCCTGATGGTCACAGTTACTATCTGAATGCTTTAGGGAGATCAAACCTGAGTGCTATAGAAGTCATTCTGTAAGCTCTATTATATGTAAAGTTTTAAATATTAATGAATCAATTAAGGCAGGAATCTTTTTTCTACAATAAATCAGTACTTTAAGATTTTTCTTTTCCCCTGTTTGATTTTGGATCTTGTTTAGTGTTTCCTGCCTGTATCATTTTTTGTTTCCATTATCACTCTTGTATGTATCTCATGAATTCACTTGAATATTGCAATTTATTTTTTAATTAAAAAATTCTCACATATTTCTCATGTTAAAACATAATAAGTACCAACACAGCCTAATTGGAACATATTAATTCTGGGTGGCATTTCTAAAATGAATTGATGCTAATGTTGTTTTTCATTTTAATAGCCTCAAGTACTACAGCCTTCCAGCAGCCTTCCCAGACTCACAGACCACGCCCAGGGAAAACTAATAAAGCCACAACGTATCGAGGCCCTCAGTGAATGCACAGTCCAGGGCATAGCTCAGGGTGAGGCTCGTCTGGATGAGAGCTGTACGCACGGCTTGCCGCAAGAAAGCAAGCACGGTCTGGGAGACCGGCCTTGTTCGTCAGGCCTGCAGTTCACTACAGATGTGGCAAAGAGTACCCCTTCTGAAGCAGACTTGAACATGACCACGAATGCTCAAGAGCCTTATCATTTGGCGGATAATCAAATTAGTGACGTGCAGTTTGTACCCGCTTCTCTTCAGGCGCTTCCCCAGTCAAGAACAGTAGACCAGGCTACGAGAGTTGGAAGAAATCAGTCTTCACCGGAGGACCACGTGTCACAGCCCAAGTCCTTGCAGCTTTTGAAGCCATCCGTCTTGAATTCTTTGGTACCTCCTCCAGTTTCTGAATCATCCTCAAGTAGGACTCCCACTTGTAACAAGTCACCAATAATCATACCATGTAACTCAGCTAAACTTCAGCCAACATCTAGTCAAACAAGTCTTGCAAATAATCCAAATCCAAAAGCATCTAAGCTCCGCCCCCCTTCTGGCTCTTTCAAACAAAAACAAATAAGCAACCCCCGACTAGAGCCTCAAAACTTCCAGGCCAAGACGAGCATCCCAAGGCCACTAACAAGAAAGAAAGAAATCATGCAGAATCCGAATGGCAATTTGAATTCTGGGGATTGTTTGGCTTCTACACGATATTCTCGTCTTCCTAAACCAAAGATACATTAACTACCTAGCCATCACCTGCCAATTTGTTTTTTTAAAAACAATCTGTTCTGTAATAGCTTTATGTGCTATTTGCTACCATGATGGAGGTTCCATTGAAAGCTTGCAAATCTTAAAATTAAAATGTGGAAGCTTCTACTAGTTTGGCTCTTCCATTTTATATCCTGGTCGAAGTACATAGCACTTGAGCATATTTGTCTCAGGTAAACACAAAAGTTTGCTTAGCCATCTCAGAGGCCTACAGAAGGCTCTAATCATGTAATCCATTCCTCTGCACATCAGAAAATTCCTGCTATTCCACTTAGCAGGCAAGAAGTGTGCTTTGCTGATTTAATCCTTTTAAGGTCTGTATTAATGGTGGTTCTCAGACCCTCATCCTTTTTCACTTGTCCCTCCTGTGAATATGGTTACTATTTTAACTAAAGATTTGGTGATAATGGAAGATGGTAGTCTGTAAACACAGTTCTGGCCAGTGTTTGTATACTTAAAAGGTCTATGCAAAAGCTCTGTGATGAATAAAGGAGATCCAGCTTTTAATGGGAAGCCTATGTAAGCTTTATTTTTCCTTGCTAGGATCAGCAAGCTAGTCTCAGTATTTATTTATTTACCAGACAAATTCCCTGGGCTAAAAATGTTTCGTATTATATATAAACCAATTATATGTTGCTTTAACATCTTGTTGTGCACGCGCACACGCACACACACACACACTCCATTTGTGTTTGTTTTTTGCTACTGGATAAATTTTGGAAAGCTTGAGATACATCTTGAAACCTGTACTTAAAGATCTATTCGTTTGTGACATGTTGTGCTCTAGTTTTGCTGGTAATTCAGTTTTGAACCCTGTAGGCTTATGGATCCATGATAGCTGTTTTAAGGTTCCACAGCATATATTTTAAATTAAGTCTTACTGTAATATTTATATTTATTGACTTTCTGCTAATATCCGAAGACTGGAATAATGGACTTGAAATGTTTGCACAAAACTTTGGTGGGATATAAATATCTCATACATAGGGATTTAAAACTATTTTCTATAGCCAAACAAGTTAAAATGTTTTGAGAATGAGTATAAATTTAAGTATGACTATCTTGAGAAAGCTGGAATTCATAAGTTTTGTTTTTCTGAGTTTTCCAGATTTTCCTTTTATGTCGGTGTGTGTTTGAATGACAGTTTCTTGAAAAGTAGATTCGGGAAGAAAAATAGAATTGGAGAGGAGAAATTGTGTTGTATTAAAAGGTATTAAAAGATATTTCGATGGCATTGTGCTTATTTATTTTAGTGTGCTAGGAAGGCAGCTGTGGAGCCTCCCAGGGACCACGTGCACTGACCTAATCATGCTGCGGGCCGCTCGGCGATGGCTCCGTGAACGTGCCTCCTGCTCGCCCGAATCATGTCATCTTTAGGCTCTTCGCCTGCAGCTCTTTTAATTGGAATTAGTGTCTTTCAGATAGACAGCCTTTTACAAAGTCAGTTTTGGTTGTGATCAGCTGACCAAAAATGTATCAAAAGGGATTATGGCCAAAAAGTCACTCAAATTTCTAGGGATTCCTTTAAAACATGTGCATTGTTGAAGTTGTCAGAGCCTTTTTAGAGAAACAACAGCAGGTGCTTTAGTGGACATTTCGAAAGAGGTGTCTATTACCATTTTGAGGCAGTCTTCCCTTACCTACCAGAGGACCATTCCAGGGAATTTGCCATTCACTGGGTACAGACCATTCTAGGATTTGGTGACAGGTGAGCAACACAAATCTACTGCCATACTCTCATTTGATAGCACTTCTGCCGCAGAAGCACTGAATTTCAGAAAGTTTTCCACACAATCCAAGTATTATTAGTGTAAGTGATCAGAGATGTCCGCAGAACTCTTGTTGGTTCACTGGAAAGAGCAGTGATCGCTGTGGCTGTAAGTGGGTACATGTGAGAAAGAAAACTGATCTCATATATTGTAAAGGGGATGTTATCACACCATATTTCCCTGAAGTAGAACATACTGATGAATTAGTAGGTTTTTGGTTTATTTAGAAGTTGCTGTAGACTCTTGTGAAACATAATTGACAAGTAGGCCTTTATCTTTAGGGGAAAAGTTTTAAATTTTTACCCCCCTAGTCTGAGGGAAATGTCTTTGTTATGTAAAAATGTGGACTCCTGTATTTGTTTATTCTAATCTTTTTTCTGCTCTTATTTCCCCCCTGATGAATTTGCAGAAATATTAACCAATCAGTTCAACTTCTCTGTGCTTTTGTTGAGCCTTAATCGAAGGCTTATCGATATAATTATGAAGCATAATGTATTTAAGAGAAAAACAATCTAGGATGCTTGCACAAAACAGCAAAGTATTTGCCTGCAGTTTTTAAAAACTGCAAGAATAATTATTGCGCTAGTCTGCTCATTAGTAAATGTTAAGTCACAAATGATATGAGGATGTAGCTCGCCTGAGTAATCAGAGGTCACACTCTCTGATTCGGCCTGATCTCTGTTTAGTGCTTCTTTAAGTCAACTCTGTGCCAAATCCTCCTCCACAGGAACTCTGATCACTTTTTTTCTTAGTTCTTGTGATTTCGGTGAAGATGGTTCCAAGGTATGAATTCTACATCCTAAGGAAGAAGTTTTATGGGGGTTAAGTTTCACATTTGTGAAAGAGAAAATTAATAGAGTATGTAGAATTGTACATTTGGCTGTTAATGGGATGCATATTAAATTCTGTAAAGAAAGCTTGGCCTAAGGAGTTAATCAGGACAGGTGCAGATAATTTTAAGGCATTAAACAAAGGATTATATAGTTATATCATTTAGAATGTTTCTAATAACTGAGACCCTTTAGCATTTTTCTTTTGGAGTCTCGTTTTAATTTGTGCAATATTTTCAGGCATATAGACTACTGTTCATTGTATTTATATAGATATTAAGGAACTTAAGTATTTTAACAAGTAAAAATCTGAATATGAAAGAAAATATCAGATTTGCACTTTAAATGAGCTTAATTGCTTGGAGTTGTGCCTGAAATATCGAAATGCCTCCTATTGGGTGTGGCTTTCTTTGTTGAAATGAATTTCTCTATAATTGTTGCCGTTTGAAGCACAGCCTTTCACAGAATTATATCCTCAGCATGTCGCTTTTCCCATTAAAGCACTAAGTTCTTTGAATGTTTCCTTATCCCCTTAAGTGTTTTACTCAGTGCATCAAAGAGAACATGATTCCCCTATAGCTGCTACTTCTCAGTCTTCCTGGTCTTCCTGTAGCATAGAGGGCGTTACAGACGCAGAGGTGCACTCTGTTCCTGAGCAGAGCTGTCACGGTGGTTTCCTGCTCTCTAGGGCACTGAGGGTGCAGTTTGGAATCACTGAATGGACTTGCAGTGAGGATCAGTAAGACTGCAGCACAGGCTCAGTTCACTCGCCGTCTCACTCAGTAGTTTTCGTGTCTATGGATTAGTTGGGGTGGTCATGTTTGCATGCTTATGCACACACTGAAAATTAATTATACCTGTAACACAGATACCTGATGTTTTTCCTTGGGGGTGATCGCCTTGCTCTTTTTCTTAATTCTGATGCTTGAATTACAATTTTTTTTCACACCTCTCTTCAATTTTTCTGCTGCAGCAATTTGAAACAGTACGTTTGGAAGAAAAATTGTGGTGGGCGCCAATCTACAGCTATGCTATTAATTAAAGATACATCATATGTTTTACCCTTGCTGGGGAAAAGCTACCCATTTTCTCCTTGGTAAAGCTTTGCCATAACAAAATAATACTGACCCCTAAGAATTAAAGTCTCTAAGTCATTACTAACTAAAAACAAAAACATCACAGTCTTTAATATCTGCAGTATTGTTTTTCCCATTGATTTAAAAAACCAGTTCAGAGTAAATACTGTATATTAGAATTTGCTTGTAAAATGAATTATAAAAACAATGTAAAGTCTCTTTCCAGAAAATGTTGGCATAGTAAATAAAAATAAAGTTCATAATTATGAAAGTGTTCTTGTCCTTGTCAACACTGACGTCCATGCTGTACTTTTTCTTGGATATCCTTTTCCCACATAGATCTAAAAGACTGTTCACTTGGTTGATTTTTTTTCAAACTCTTTATCCTTTCAGATAGTCCCCTGTACACGCACATCACACTCCAAGTCCTGATTGAGTAGGAGTTGACAAGCTTGTTGTGTTTTCACAGACTCTGTTAGTGATCTAATACTTCAGTTTCCATTTTAATCAAATATCTGCTTAGAAAAATATTGAGAGAATGGGTAATTTTTACTTAAAAATTTTAGCACTTTAAGTTAGGAAAGCTGCATAAAAGGGGAACGCATAATTTTAATTATTTTGTTTTATTGTTTTTAAACATTACATGTACAAAATAGCTTGAAGCAAGAGGAATGTTTAATGAAATTTTACATAGTATTTAGGAACCAAAGGAATAGGGAATTTATATTTATTTTCCAATTTAACTATGTGTGATAGTCTATATATAATAGGATATAAAAATTGATGCAGTGATATGTTATTAATCCAAAATGGTTACATAAATGCTGGAAAAAAGAGTGAAGGAAATTTCATTAGTAATAAATTTGAGAGTGGCATTTACTAAGGAACCTCTTATGACACCTGTATCAGTTTTAAGGTCCTCTGAGTTACTAACAAGTATTTTCATAGACTAACTCAAAATTTTTCCTTTTTAGTTTGTCATCAGGTATAGCCATTTCAGTTGTTTCTCATTATGTTGTTCATTCTGTTCTGAAAATCTTTTTTTCCCACCGAAAAGACAAATAGAAGTTAATTCTGACTCCTCCTGTTAGTTGGGTTTAAGTAATTTTAGTGGGATATCTTACCTGTTCAGTCACTGAGCAAGTTGCTGGGTCTCCAGAGATGAAGACTACGTGGTCCCTACCCCATGGAGCTTGAGAACCCACAGGTGGTTTTTAACATCATGCCATTCAGTTCAAGAATGCCCTTGCATTCCATGTTGATCATCGTATTTTGAACCTAACAGTAAAACTCCTTTTTGATGACATTTCCTCTCAAGTTGCATTTCATTCTGGTTTTTAATTCTCTTGCACTATTCTCATCTTTGCTTCTATATTATATTAATTCTTGGTTACATGCCTTCATTTCCCTTTGAAAACTTGGCTTTTTATAATCTGAT